CAGCACCCCTTACCTTCATGGCAGATTGGGGAGGGGGAGTTACCTGGCACCCATTACCTTCATGGCAGGGCAGAGGGGAGTTATCCGGCATCTGTTACCTTCGTGACTAGGGGGTTACTTGGCACCCGTTAACTTAATAGCGGGGTGGAGGGGAGTTACTCAGCACCCATTACCTTCATGCCGGGGGTGGGGACGGGGCATTATTTGGCATCTGTTACCTACATGGCAGGGCAGCCCTGCCTACCGCTCCATCCCAGTCAGCAATAGCAGCCTGGGGGGAGGGGGCACCATTCTTCCACACACTGGCCCCAGGTGGCCACTTCTGGGGGGTACTGGGTGGGGGGAATGGGGAAGGCCCCCAGTCCCATTGATGCAATCAAACCCCTCCCCACAACCACCACATTCCCAGCTTCCAAGCCTCTGTATTCATTGTTCGACCAAATATCACCAGGACTGTTATCATCATGCACACAGAGCTCCCTCCCTCCATCACAACCACGTGCTCCTGTGGGCTCCTCCCAACAGATCGGAGCTGGCCCCTGTGATGGGAGCTGTATACAGCAGGCTCAGCTCCCTCTCTTCTGGTCTACGAGCTCCCTCTCCTCTGGTCTACATATATATTCTGCACTGGTCCCATGTGCAGCTGTCTGCCCCCTCCCACTGCCACGCACACATAGAGGGGGACTCCTAGGCCATGGCTGGGGAGCCATGGCTGTCATCACAGAGAGCTGGGCTTTTGGGGGGCCTGGATGGGGTGGAACCATGCCTGGGTGTAGAGGAGGGGCATCTGCCCTGCTGTGACCCCTAGGGACCGAATTCCAACTTGGGAAGAGACCCCCCCACTCTCAGCTAAGGCCTCAGGGGATCCGGATTCCACCCCTCAGGGGGAATGGGGAGATTGCAAGCAGCTGGGGATCCCCCATCCATGCTCATCCACTCCAGTCCCATGTTGGAGTCTGTTGCTGGGAGGGGTCATTCCCTGGGAGGTTGAAGCAGTTTATTAAAGGATGGAATTTGTATCATTTCAGTAAAAAAAAAAAGCGACAAACCCCCCCCAAAAAAGATGTGGGGGGGAGTAAGGCCTGAGACACCCCCCTTCCCCCGAATGTACCTGTCTGTGTCTGCTCCCCCCACCCCACCTATTTATTCTGGGAGAGACAGAGAGACACTGGAGACGTTTGCCTTAGCCATGTGTGACCGGAAACAGACCCCCTCCCAGCTCAGCACATGCGTGTACATGGCTGTGCATCCCCCTCCAACAAATGGGGGGGAACGTGTCACCCACATTTCCTCTTATCCGGGGGCCTAGGCGTCACCTTTTTCTTTCTTCCCTCCCCATTTTGGTTCCTTGCCACCTTGAGTTTTTATCCCTCCCCTACCCACTGGAAATTTTGGACCCTGCCCAATTTTTGGACCTCCTTCATTTCTGACCCCCCCCGTAAAATTCGGTCCAGACTCCAAGCGCAAGTAACTCTCTGCATAGGTTATTTCAGTGCTATAATTGCATCTCTTGTTGGTAAGTACTGTATTCTGTGCTAGACTCGAGCTATAAATCTATGTACAATTAACCCACGGATGACTTCCTTGCCTTCATTGCAAAAGACCCCGCCCCCCCATGGGGCTGAGGGGCATCCCCTCCCTTCACCATGCTGGAGAAGCTACAGCTAGGATGGATTTGCTCTCAGCTCCCTCTCTGGTGGGATCAAGCCATGGTCCTTGGGCCCCCAGGAGTGGGAATATGTCTAAACTACTGGGATGCAAGGGAGACTGCAGTTTGCCTCCTGCCCCACCAGAGGCAAGAGTTTGCCTCCTGCCCCACCTGGATCTCCCCCCTCTGTGGGACACAGAGAGAAGCCAGGGGGCAGCCATGGGCACCCAGCAGTGAGGTCCTGATTGTGAATCCCTTCCCTACTCTATCAGGCCACACTGCTTTGCCAGGGTAGGATAGAACCCAGGTATCCAGGTCCCCCACCCCTCCCCACTGTAACCCACAGACCCCCACTTCTCTCTAGAGGTGAAATAGAGCCCAGGTGTCCTGGCTCCCAGATCCTCAGACCCTGCTTCTCTTCAGGGCTAGGATAGAACCCTGATGTCCAGGTTCACAGTTCCTAACCTGCAAGACCCTGCTCCCATCCTAGATCTTCCATAGAAGCCAGGCCTGAGCTCCCAGCTCCCCATTCTAGCCCACCAGGCCCCGCTTCCCCCCAGAACTGTGATAGAACTGGGGTGTCTGGGAAAAGGTTGGTGCTTGCCCTGGGTCCCAGGTGTCTGGGTACTAACCCTAAGCAGGAAACCACAGCCCGAAGAAGTGGAGAATGGGATCCAGGGGCCACCATGGGGTCGTGTCTGTATTGATGACATAATGCTGCACGTGGGAATGATGTTAGTGCATGAGATCACCTGGGGAGCTGGACTGGGGGCATCCCTCATGATGACATCATCCTGATGACATCACAGACCCTCGCCCATCTGTAAGTACCCCAGCTGCTGCCCTAGTCATAGCTCCGTCTACAAACCCCTCCCACCTCAAGCCACGCCCACGCCTACAGGCGACTCCCTTTGCCTTTTGTCGTCTGCTCCCTCCCACTCCCAGGATGCTTTGCGGGAGGAAGACTCTCGCTCATCTCCCCAGAGCAGCCAATGAAGTCCTTTTATGTAATAACGCCCCGCCCCTCAAGATGCCACTTTGCATATGGCTCTCGGCAGAGGTTTCCTTTCCGCCACACTCAAGATGGCGACCGGGGGGGTTCCCTAGGCCAATGCGCTTATAATAGAGGCGGAACTTCCGCCCTTCCTAAAGTGGCGTAGCGCCCGGGTTTCTCTCGTTCCGCCGCGCCCCGAATGGCAGTGCCTTTGCCCTCCACGCTATGTGGGGGCGTGGCGGGATTTAAGATTCACCACACTCAAGATGGCGTCATGAAGCGGGGGCCCCTCTGGAGGCTAGAGCGCATGCACCTGCTGGGCCGTTATGGTCACTCTTAAAGGGGAAGTGATTGGTTTTCTGGGGCGGACCGGACTGGATCGGGTGGCATGGCCGGATCCGGGCCTGGCACCGGACGGTTCTTGCACGAGCTCCCGGCCTGGCTTATGTGTAGCTTCTGTCGCCTGATGGACGCATTGGGTCGTGCGGACTGGGAACGTTTCGGTAACTGTTGCAAAGTAGGAGGAACTGAGGCATACTGGGAGAGACTGATGGGGACTGGAGTATCCTGGGAGGGACCTGGGAACGACTGGTGAAAACTGGGAGTGACTGTAGGAGACTGGTGCATACTGGGAGAGAGACTGACAGTGCCTGGTGGTGGGCTCTGGGGCATCCTGGGAGGGGGGCTGGAAGTGGCAGGGGGGGAATGGGGTATACTGAGAAGAGGACTGGGAGCAAGTGGTGAGAACTGGGACTGGAACACACTGGGAAGGCGGTTGGGAGTAGCTGCTGGGGCCTGGGGCCAACTAAGAGCAGCTGGTGGGGACCAGGAAGGACTGGGATGTACTCGGGAGGAGACTGGGAGTGACTGGTGGCACTGGGGCAAACTGGGAAGGGGAGTAGGTGAGGTGGGGGCATCCTGGGAGGATACTAGTAGCAACTGTTGGAAACAGGACTGCAAAATATTGGGAAGGCAACTGGGAGCAACTGGTGGGGACTGCGGCATACTGGAGGAGAGACTGGGGTGACTAGGGGGACTAGGGCACCCTGGATAGGGACTAGGAGTAACTGATGGGGACTGGAACAAACTGGGAGAGAGTTGGAAACTGGGATAGGGGCATGGAACACTGGGGAAACTGGGCCAGTCAGGGATGTCCAGGGAGTTCACTGGAGCATACTGACATGTACCGGGGAGTCACCATGACATACTAGAGCCTGCTGGGAGGCCTTGTGGTCTCCTGATGCATGCTGGGAGCTAGCTGAGGTCCACTGGGATGGAAGGAGCCTGGAGGGCAGCATTCACTGGCCACTACTGGGACATGCTGGTTTATACTGGGTGGAATATAGGGGAGTCAGTGGCTATACTGGTTTATACTGAGAATGGACTGGTGGGTGGGGGCACTGCTGGGGGAGGCTTGTAGCAGGGGTGGAACCTGAAGCCCCGCACCTTGCCCTGCCCCCAGCTTCCAGAGTGGTGCGGGACCAAGTGGAGCTCCGGCTGGCGGGCACCAGCGAGGGCCGGACACAGCGGGTGCTCTGGAGCTGGGGCCACCGCAATGCCCGTGTGGGCGACCTGCTTGCCTTGCTGGGAGAGCTGGAGCTGGACTGGGCCCGTGACCTCATCGCCAGCTGTGAGAGCCCCACTCCACCCAGCCCACTGTGCCCCTCACTACTGACCTGCATCTCCATCCTTATACCCCAGAGGGACCCTTGCTCAGCCTGCAGCTCCCCTGCATGTTGGTGGCCCTCAATCCCAATCCACAGCCTCACTTATGCTCTACAGTGCCCCTCACTTCTGACTTGCAGCCCC